TATGTGGTAAACAATAGAAATGAAAGGTCATCGCTTGGACAACGAGCATGGTCTTAGAAAAGACTACTGACATTACATCCTTGTATTCCAAACGGCCATTTATTATTAAAGCAGCAATAGTAGTAATTTTAAAACCTTTTTTTATTTGAAATGAATGTAACCAACAATAAAATCTTACTGAAGTATTGTTTTCGGCACACTTGCATTGGCAGAAAGTGACCGACCCTACACAAGACTAGTTTCACATAAAATGTGATGTGAAAACTAAAGGTCGAGTAGTCAACATTTTTGTTGAAATCGGTCATGTGATGGGGACTGTTGAAAATTAAGACGCAAAATGCACGCTATTGAGTGAAATGACCCCAAGATGGCAACCTATCTGACATTTCGAATAGAACCTCCAGTAAGTTGTCAACAAGTACCGTAGTCCTTGTCGCTTGACAAAACTGAATTTTAATAGAGTGCACCTTCTGGAGACCTAGACGTAACCCAGCGGCCATCTTTTTTCACTTTTCACCCGGTAACAGTGATTCAATGTACAACACGGGCGTACATGATGCTATGCTTTCAGTATTTACATTTTTGCAATGGTCGTTAAAAATTGGCACTAATGACCTGGAAAATGTTTTATTAAAAAAAAAAAAAAAGATTGATAGTTACAGCTATTGTCATAGTTATGTTGAAAACTGGGTCACATATAAACCATCTCACTAACTAGGGGGTTCTGAAATTGGGTGGTGGTTATTGTTATTGGTAAATATTTTATTCACATTGTTTACATTACAGAACTTTTTCTTCACACCACCCCCACCCCCCACCCCTCACCCACACCGCTCACCCCAGTTTCCAGATGGACCCATAACTGAACAAATAGGAAAATTTAATTGGGATTAGGATTTAATATTTCATGAGTCACATGTTTAGATACTAAAGAACCATTTGGTATAATTTGGAGAACAAAAAATTAGTGGAACTAGACTGAAATAAGCATGCAAGTACAATATTTATATTTAATAAATTACTATGACATCAATTTTTTTCGTCAACATAATCAACCGGCTAAAATAACTTAAAGCAAGGAAACAACTTGTTTATTCACAAGTAAAACATGAAGGAAGTTAAGTGTGAATCATAATGACTGGATTGAGTGGGTACAATTACTAACACAGTGTTTATAATAGAAAAAAAAATGAATATGATAACTAGTGAGCAATGCTCATTAATAGTATGACTCATCGGAAAAGGTCATAATAGTACTACTGCTGGCACAAGCAATGTTTCAATGTGAAAATCACGGCGCACGTTCACCGACACATGCTTTCGTTATGTTAGATTTAAACTATAAAACACTACGATAACTATTTTGTGGAAACCGCTGTAGGGGGGAGGGGGTGTCGCGTGTGTTTATTTATAAAAGGGCGTGATGACCACCGCATGAAGGCAGCGTGCATGCACGCTCAATCAATGAAAATGTGACCGTACATACGCAAACCGAGGACGTTCGGTGACAATACCATTTCCGGTTGTTGGTTCAACTTTGAATTGGAGGTATGTGAAGTACTTCTTGGAAAACTGAAATGGATTTTCTAGTCAAAGCGAAAAAAAACAATTTGGATGGGAGAGGGAGCAAGCCCCGTGGTTGTGGTAAATCATTAAACGTCTGTCTCCATGCATCAAATGAAGACATCGGGGACAGTCCATTCCCACATACATCAACTAAAATTTAGTTTGATAGACGTAAATGTCATTGTTTATAATAAACAAAAAATCCTCCGACATAATATGAAGCGAGTGACATTCCATAGCATTAAGTCAACACACGGGAATCGGAGATGTGGAAACTCTCGCCAGTCGTCGATGTTGTTTGTTGTCCCGATTTCACCGACCAACTTTTTTCGTAGTACAATTCCGCCTTGTTCTGATTGCTCCAATAAGTTTGCGACGGAAACACTCGATATAACAAGCATCACATGCTCGGCGGAAGTATGGGAACTGTCACCTTAACGCCCTGATAAAGAATAAAAACGTTCAGATCAACCCAAAGCAACAGTAAAAAAAAATCCTGACCTTGTAGACGTCGCCATACGTGCCGCTTCCTATCCTCTGGATCAAGTCAAAATCGTCCTGGGGATTTCGTCTAGATATCTCAGCGCTCGGTGCGGTTGCCATCTTCGTATAAAAATGTGATAAATCCGAGTAAAAATCATGTGAAATAGACGAAACTTAGTTGTAAATTTCATTGAAGTGACATTTGTTATCCATTGCGATGTCTTTTCCCTGGCCCCATTTCCTGTCATGCGCACATCTGTTTCTCGCGGATGATGGGTAGGTTAGGGTCACAAGAGGGCGCATTTTGAAAAATAAAGTTGAATAACATTCCAAACAATCTATCAACAGCGAAAGTCTTTTCAGTATAGAGTTACATTTGAAAGCAAACATGTTTTACTTTGAATTTATGCGAGTTTACAAAAATAGTAGTAATTATATGGTCTATTGGAATAATGTCCATTTATTCTGGACATCCGAGAAGAGCACCAAAATGACTGTCGACTGGTAAAACAGAACCACTATTTGACTAAGCGATTTGCAATTGTCAATTACTTTGTACTCGGCAAATATGTTTTTAAAAAAAGACAATTTATGACTGCAAAGTTGCAAACTGAAATATTTTAACAGTTATTATCTGATAGCAAAATTAATATAATATTACACCACAGTCAACTTCAATAAACAATATTATTGAAAATACATTAATTCAAAATCCTGAACGAAATATTTTTCCATTGTCTTACACGGCATCTTGATACATTTCATGTTACTTTCTTTAAATTTACGATAATTTAAGGC